TTTACGACCCATATACAGTCTTAGTTAACTAAGTCTTGAATAAATTATAGGTGGTAACTTCTAGTGGTACTGATATAGTAATTTATGTATTTTTGGTAATCAACTGTATATAGTAAAAACCTAAAAAAAATTTTGTTTCATATCCTCCATGTGCAAAATTCTAAAAGGCTTAGCAACTGAGTACAAAGGTAACTAGAAGAGATAATTGTTTGCTTTACTTCTTTATTTACTGTTCTATGTTTTAAGAAAAGTAAGTTTAAGAATTTATTTCTAAATAGTAATAATTTATATACATATATAATGTATAATAATGGAAATGTGACTGTATTTTACAAAATACTAATCTACTAAAACACAGCCAATACAGATCTCTTTGTAAAGACTATCAGTTAGTTGTATGTTATTGGATTTGGTAACATGAGAGCATGTGTGCTGCATCATTGTAACTTCTGTATTGTTAGCCAGGCATGGCTGAAAGGTCAATATAATAAATGTATAATGTTATGAGACTTCAGCTATTTAGTCTGAACATTTATGTTTTCGTGTTATAATTTGTTGTCATTCTAGAACAAAAGAGGCATAGTTTATATTTATTTCCTAATTTTTTATAGTGGTTACAAGGTTGGTCGAATCTACCGAATATTTACAGAGATTCTTTACTGAAAATAACAGATAAAAATATAGTTGTTGTTTTTTTAAGAAACATTTGATAACTATCTGGACAATATAAAGATTTCGTATGTGAAATTTGAATCTCACAAAAATATCAACAGGTGTTGAAGGAAGTGTTGCAGTCACACCATCTAGATAGTTCAAAGTATATTCAATAGCAGGATTAATTTGACTAAAATATGTTTCCAACTGTGGAAAGTTTTGCTTAAGGTTGCCAAAAGGGGAAAAAATGTGTTTATTATATAGATAGTACCATAAATGAAAGAAAACCAGCAGTTTCAACATCACTGCTATTGCTGAGAAGCTGAAGAGTGTGCAACATATGAATGAAATCATTATATATCACTTGAAAAGATGCAGGTTAACTTAGCCATTAGATTTTACAGACTTCTTCAATTTCCTGGTTACTCAAAAACCTATTTTTGGGGTTTGTGGGATAGGTTTATTTATTATTTGAAGTTGTGCTTTCATTAGTGTAACAGATTGCTTGGGAGGTTGGCTAAATCTTTCTCATAAAGTGTTTATAATGTCAAACACATTTTTGTATTTGTTTAACATGAGCAGAAGTGTCATTGCAAGCTAGTGCCAACTTGTGGCAAATGCAATGGCATGCTAGTAAAAACATTCCAACTAGACATTTACTCTGACTATAACACCATTCAATATGGTCTATCATGACCAAAGCACCATCTGATAGTTTTTCAAAGGAATATCAAGTGTGTGCATTTGATTCACAATGATATTAGTTATGAAATAAATATTAGAAAGATCTATGTTTTTAAAATTCATGGAAGTTTTTATTGGTCGTACGTAGTAAAAGTCGTTTTTGTTCACAACATTTCACCAGATTTACCTGGCATCATCAAGTGAAATGTGGTGAATAAAATAAACAAAAGTTTTACTATGTATAACTGATAGAAACTTGTGTGGATATTAATTATGGTTTGAAGTATCATCAACAAGAAGAAATTCTGTAAGTGAATTGCCCATGTTTTTGTCTGCAAACTGAATGATTCCAACTAGAATTTCCATGGTAGCTGATAGATCTGTCAGCTCATCAACTAATACCCCATATGTATTTATTTGTTCTAACTTTTGCAATAGTCTATTAGTCAAGGCCTCACTAATCACAAAAAATATTCTGAGTTGTCTCCTTTGAAGAATAATTTTGAGCTTGCAATATCTTCTTTTGTCAAGTAGTATATAGCCAAAAAATTACGATATAAAAATCATCTCTTGCTATTTTTGCTTCTACTATTTTGTGAAAAACAGGCACTCGGCTAAGTTCAGTCTTAACTACTTATGTTTATGAGACTTCGCATGATCGGTAACTGCAGATTTTAAAAATATTTTTCTAGGTATATTGACATATTGGTTATAATGTTTTTTTCTTGCTTTTTTTGCATAAAAAATGTAACAATCCACATTCATCTGAAATGGACAGTTATTTGAATACCACCAGTCTTTAGACAATGGGATGAATTTATGTCCATTAATAAATACTCTGTCTATGATATTAAAATTAAAACTTCAGGATAACACTACCTTTTTTAAGTGGTTCTGTTTGTAGGTCCTCTTTGTAAGTACAATATTGTTTATCACAGGTTAAATAAATAAAATAAGACATTTTTTTGAAAAAAGTGAGAATTTGATCTTGTGTGTTGTGGAATGGAGTTTTCTATATATATATATACTGGTGGTTGCTTTACTATTTTCTCTTTTTGTAATTAACATATGAAAAGGATAGAAAACTGTCAGATTCTACTTCATAAGTGAAAATTATGACAGTATTCTGTTATATAAGAATCGTATTAAAATGAATACCTTTCTCATGTTACCATATGCTGAAAATATTGTCACTATATAAACCAGTTTTGGGGTTTTTTGATATGTGTGAATTCATTCTTACAGAGTTTCTCTAGAACAGATATGTAAGGCTCATAAAATAGAGGGGAAAGAGAAAATCCTGTAGATAAATTACTGTTTGGTTTGTAGAACTGATCATACATTGTTCCTTTAGGTTGATTAGAATTAAAATGATGTACAATACTCAAAGGTGATCCTATTTGTAATGTTCTTTCTAACATTAATAAACTCATTAAAGATTGCAATTTTCTAACTAATAGCCAAAACATTTCTCTCATCCTCCTCTCTTGTTACATTCCTTTGTTTTAGTCAATTTCCAAGATTCATAAGAATATTTTTACATACCTATTCTATCCAGCATAGTCTTACTTGTACAAAACGTTGCAAAAATCTGGTTCTGTCCTTCAAAAGTTCTGATTTATCATAGCACCACATTGGTAATTTATTTTCTATTCTTGCAGATCTAACTTGTAAAGTTCTAGTTAAGATGTACACTCTGTACTTGAGACTTCTTACACTACTTTATTATATATTGATAATAATTAATTTATAATCTGGTCTGTTCACTTGTACTTCATTTTGCCTTTATTTTCAAAGCTGTGCTTTGTTTAGTAATTGTTCTGATCGCATTCTCTGACATAAAAGGTTGAGAACAAAGAGTTGTAATAATAAACCTCAGAAAGAAAATCACTCAAAGAGAGACATGGTTATATAATATTAAGTGATGGTTGTTGTTTAGTAAATATATGAATCTGCTTTGAGATGAGCAAATAAGTGTTATTTACAGATGAGACTTGTACCTACACAAAAAATGAAATTTTGAACATTTTTCTTTGCAAGTTACACTAAATAAAAGTTACAAATTTTCAGAGTTAGAATATGTTATATAAGTATGTAAGGAGACCAGTGGATGTCTTTTATTGGTAAATTGACATGTGAGGTTGAAAATAATAATTTAGCTTTTTTAGACATGCTCATTAATCGTAATGCTAATTGATTTTTCACATCAATTTAGCGAAAAAAGACCTCCACTGGTCTCCTTACACACTTTGATAGCTTTATCCCATTTACGTACTTTGTATAAATTTTGAAATTTGATGAGTAGATATGCACTTCACACATGAAAGGTGCTCTGCAGTTGTCATAGCATTTAATTAAGTAACTAATTCTGTCAGTTTTGAAAGTAAAGCCACAAAAATTGTCATATATGTATCTTATGAAAAATAACTGTCACACACTTGGTGATCCTAATTGATATAGTTAATTTAATTTACCTGAACTCCATGTCACACTGTATGTGCTCACCCTTTCAGCTGTGGGGGAGTTATAATGTGATGGTGAACTCCACTATTTGTTGGTTAAAGAATAGCCCAAGATTGGTGATGGGTGGTGTTGACTAGCTGCCTTCACTTGCTGCTAAATTAGGGACAGCTAGCATAGATGGTTCTTGTGTAGCTTTGCACAAAAATTCAAAGCAGACTAGATTAACTTGAGCCAGCATATTAACTTGTGTATTCACTTACTCATAAAATGGAAGAACTCCAATTTTGATCCTGGAGTGCCCACTTAGGAACAATCATAATTGCAGCTTACTTATGAATTCATGATTAGTTGTGAAACAGATTGTATAAAAAAATATTTTATTTTTTAAGAATTATGGGGCTTTTATAAGTATAAAACAAAAGAAGATATGTAGTTTGTGGAATTTACTTCATCCCAAAAGTTTCTGGATTTCTAGTTTTAGTGATAATTAGTAATCTTTAGTCAAATGGAGGTAAAGAAAAATAAAAAAAACTTGAAGTGTGTTTTATAATCATGAAAGATAAATTCTGAGAAGCTTTTATTCTGTATTTAGCTTGGTAACATCAAGAAAAAAAATGTCAAGAACCTCCAGAAAGGAAAGGGGAAGAAAAAGAAAACACAGTTGAAATTTTCTGTTGATTGCAGTCACCCAGTTGAAGATGGAATTATGGATGTTGACAGCTTTGTAAGATTTAAATAATAATTTATCACTTATTTCTTTATTACTTCCGAGTTTAATTACCCAGTTATAAAATATATATATTTATATCCATTCTTTAAAAATATATTATTGCAACTATTCAGAGATGAAGTCTATTCAAAAGCTAAAATGTTTTTGTTATCTGGAAGTAAGACCACTCATCTACAAAATTGAAGCATTGTATGTGTTTAAGCAACAAAGATTTCTTACCTGTACTTTGCAATGTGCAGTAATGTTAAATGTCTTTTTTTAAGTTGAATGGTGTTTTGTTACACCTTGTGTTAGATATTTGTAGTTTGATTTAAAATGAAATAATTTTTTTATTGTAGGAAAAGTACCTGAAAGAAAGGATAAAGGTGAATGGAAAAACCAGTAACCTTGGTAATGTGGTAACCATTGAGAAAAGTAAATCAAAAATATTAATTACTGCAGATATCCAGTTTTCTAAAAGGTGGGGCTTCTGTTGTTTTATACTTGTTTTGAACAAGGTTTAAGTTTAATGATAGAATCTAGAAACCATAGAAAATTAGTTCAGTATTCAGTGTATTCTATTTGTTGTGTTAATTACCATTCATATAACTGAAAATGGATAAAAATTACTCAACATACTTCAAGTAAATGGTGAATTAATTTTAACAAGATTTAAACTCATCACAATTCGTGAGTACTTTTAGGATTTGAATATGCAGCTGCATGTCAAATTTCAGAGTTTAGTAAACATAATAAGTAATGTGGTTTTGTGAGAAAGTGCCAAGACCTAGCTCCTGCAAGGAAGAATGGCAGAATTTAATGGAATGTTTAGAAGCCTTGAGAATAAGCCACAGATCTAGGAATATTTTTATTGAATCTTTAGACATTCTTGAAAATGTTTTTGTGTTAGATTATATTCATTTGAGAGATACAGATATAATCTTCTATAACAATATATCAGGTAAACCTAGTTAGGTTTAGAAAGTATGGTAGGTGACAGTAGAATACTCCAGTGACTTGTATTTTTATTTATTTAATATTGTTCATTTATCATATTTAAACAATGTACATAAATAGAATATCTTAGTTTATTGAAAACAAATTTTGTTTGATAAATATAAATTGATCTTGACTAAGAATATTGTTAACAAAATATTATTTACTTGCTTTACCTAACACCATTTTTAAAGGTTGGATCCTAAATTATCAATAAGTCCTTGTCAGTTTATATAATGTTTTTTATTGTATATAGCCAGAAGTGTTGACTACTACAATTGGCAAATAAGTATCAAAAAGTTAAGTTCTAAAATGAAAGTATTTTTAATGTATCACAACAAAATTTAGAAATTTCATGACATAAGGAATTAAGAAACAAAAAAATTGTATAAACTTTTTCAAGCTAAAACTATACTGTTTCATAAGTTTGTTTTAAGTTTCATGCAGTTTGGTTAAGTATTTCGACTGTAAGCAGGCAAAAAGTAATTTAATATTAAAAAATGGAATTTTAGTTTATTTCTATGATAAAAGTTACATATATTGAAGAAATGCCTCATTCATATTTCTGAGAGAAAACCTAAAGTTTAGTTCCTTGAAAGTTAACAGTTATGTAGTCATTTGGTTTTAACTATAAAATTTGGAATTGTAAATAAAATCTTTGCATTGTTATTATATACTTACGTTGACAGATACCAAATGCATGAGATTATTTCTAAGAGCATTGGGAAACATCATTTTAACTTTGTGATTTTTAATTAAAAGTTATCAAGGTATTTTCAAGAGTAGGAATATAATACTTTAATGTCCAAAATTTTGTTTATCCCAACTTTTCTTGCAACTTCATTAACAGGAACAACCGTTCCTTTTTTATATTAGTTATTCATATTGATACAATATTTTAAATATCAAAAAATTTTGAAGTCTGTTTTTATTATTTAATTTACTGAATCTGGTAACAGCTGTGCTAGAGATTTAGTTTTAAGGATAGAATGATTTTTAATTTTAAAATCATTTATGAATTATGTATCTAACAAAAATATTTTTTATATTGTATTATAGATATCTTAAGTATTTGACAAAAAAATACCTGAAAAAGAACAGTTTACGAGATTGGCTAAGAGTTGTAGCTGCAAGTAAAGATTCATATGAGTTAAGATACTTCCAGATCAACAATGAAGAGGAAGAAGATGAAGAGGATAATGAATAAGTTTTGCATAAAAACATCCATTCTCTTGTAAATGTTGAAGTGGAAATAAAGTCTTTACATTGATAACTACCATTTATTTGTCAGAAAATGTCAGTTTTCTGAGAATATAAAGTTAAGATTTGTCCTGGAGATTATATGTACTATCCAATACCCAAAATGAACTACTTATTTTTTTCTCTTTCTTGTCCATCAAACAAATAGTGTTTTTTGTTTTTTTAAATTAAAATAAATAATTGAAAACAACGTTTTATATTTTTACAATAAAAACTTTATTGAAGCCATAAAGCTTCCACTTTCAAATATCGCTCTACAAGTACATGTTTCTACGTGACCTACGTCATCCTTAGGCTTAGAAGTTTAAACTACCTTGGGTTAATAGTGAATGATAATCTTCCACTTGAAGATGAGATAAACGTGTGCATTGGTAAGGCAGCTACTACTTTCAGCTGACTAACAAAAAGAACCTGTAATAACACAAAGCTCGTCACAAAAACAAAGATGCTTGTATATGAAGACTGCATTCTCATGCACAGTAGAAAAACATGGGCAATATGTGCATCAAGAGAAGAAGCTGAACATTTCCCGTCTACACTGCCTATACCATATTTTGAATATCAAATGACAAAACGATCGCAGATGTAGAGGTCTTTCACAGAGCAGGACTACCAATCCCCCATCAGAGAAACCTGTGCTGGTTGGGACATCTACACAGAAAGGAAGGTGAACGAATAACCAAGGACATGCTGTATGGAGAACTTGTAGATGGAAGGTGACAACCTGGATATCCAAAACTACACTTGAAGGATACGTGCAAGAAAAGCATAAGCCTTTGGAATTGATCCATGTCAGTGGGAAACTGTGTCAAGTCACTGAACGAAGTAGCACACCTTTCTCTATCGTGGTATTAAGGAACATAACAAGGAGTAGCTAGAGCAAAAGAGACAGAATAGAACAGGCTGACAACACGTACAAATGCAGTAATGTGCGAGTACTATATTGGATTCTGTGGCCATATGAGAAATTGTATTTCTGCTACAATTTCAACCTTTCAATCGTCAGCATTGATGTTATGTAACTTCTATAGTTTGTGTGTGTGGAGGAGGAGGGGTGGGGATTGGTAGTTAAGTCACCATGTATCATTGGACCACAGCTACATGGGCAAAGTATGTCACCAAACGTTATTGGAACAGTACTTAACTCTTGCAGATACTACATGGCAATTTATATGCCCTATTTCATAAGTACGAGTTCAATCAGTTTCTTTATTTGTCAGTGAGGACAAGTCGCAAATAAAGCAGGGATGTTGGTTGTACTTTTTAATTGATTATTCTTACATGAGACTAATCTTGTTTTCAGTTTTTTCAAAGACATTTTTGAACTACCCTTTCTTTACTACGATAGGCATCTTGTGTACACAGCTTTAATAGAACTAAACTGGTGTTTCAAAAATGTCCTAAGATTTCATGGGAGCAAGCCAATAAAGATTCTTGCCATAGTTTGTAATAGATAGCGTGTCGGTGAAATATTTAATGTGATCGAAGGAAAACGGACAATACAATGTTTACTATTTAGCAGAAAACGTACAATACTAGGTGACTTCTTCAGAGGTTGAAATGATTAATGAAGTGGAAATTAAAGTATTATAAAAATAGAGATTGGAATATCAAATCTAATTACAAGTGTTTTAAATTACACTATCAATGTGAAAAACGAACTATGGTTTTATAAGTATAAAAAACATTTAAGTTAGAAGATGTTTATTGCAACGAAGTTTTAATAAGAACACATTAAAATTATTATTACATTTAGGTTGTAAGTTATAAAACTAGAAACGCGTGCATACTTAAAAGCTAAAAGCTTAGTTTTGATACTCGTGGTGGGAACAGAATAGATGCCTGTTGTGTCGCTTTGGGCAAACAATAATACTGATAAATCAAAGTTTACTGTACTGGGCAAAGTTTAGAAGTACGTGATTTGTTTAAGAAATGTATATTAGTTAAAGCTATGTTTTTATTTTGTCCAGTCTACAGATATCTATTTGGTAATGTTTTGATTACATGAATAATCGTAAACTTCGATTAGTTACTTGTTTTCGTGAGTCGTGACATTGATAAGGAAGATTATTTTTAGAACAGGTATGATGTCATCGATCACTGTACTCTAAAATAATAATGAAATTTCATAAAGGTAATCTAAGTCTGTGTCTGTCAATACCATAGCTCCAAGATGAATATACCTAGAGACTCGAAACTTTGCAAGGAGATTCTGATGGTGTGCACCTGGGTATTTTAACTCAATACAATGTTGGCTAATTTTATTGCCCGTGATTTATAAATATATGCTGAAATCTGTCGCTTGGTACAACAAGTTGTTAGGAAATAAGTATTTTATTATTACTGTCTACTAATTTGATTAGGAATGGTTTGGGGGGAGGATGGAGCCCCCATTTATTTTCGGAAAACTACCAAATCAGCACAATTTGACACAGTGATGTAATCCCCCCACCTAAGTTCATATTCATAGAATGTCTTGAAAACAGTACGTCTTTCTTTTCAGTATCAGTACCTTTATGCATTTGACATTTATTGTTACATGAAAAGCAAAATTTGATCCTTTCTGTTTAAAAATAGCTAAACCTCGGCCTCCTGTTCAGATAATACCCGGATAAGGACGGCTAGTGTAATACTTCGACAGTTGATTATTTTGTTAATATTAACCGATTTAATCACAATGTTCGATTAAGACATGTTATAGTTGCAAAAAGATTATGATGGGTGTGTGACCAGACATAATGGAGGTGGTACAACTGAATGTTAGATCAAGCAGACCGCTCTTAAACCTGGGGAAAAATTATAATAGAATACAGACATTGATTATTGGAATCTACGTTGTTTAGAATCAATATTATTAACATGTTTTGTATAAAGATGAATCGTAGAAAAAGTAAAGATAAATCAGCCACATAGAGAAGAAAGTTGCTTTTGTACTTTGAGAAATCAAAAGATATACATCTTTAACAACCAAGTATGAATCAACCTTTCAATTTTTTAAATACTGAATTTAAATTTATGTTCTTCAGGTTATAGACGTCATTGTTTTCCTTCTAAAGACTTAAAGCCATCAGTTTTGAGGGTATTCAGTGGTTTAACTTAAGTATATTCGTATAAGCACAGTATGTGCAACATTATATAATTCTCAATGGATGTTAGTACTAGAATTATTGTGAAGTGATTTAAACATGAAACAAAAACACTGAGGTAAATATTAGCTCTCTATTGTTTACCTACTAAAATATATTCGCCTTGGCTAAGTTCACAAGATGTAGGAATAAAAGAGAATAGTTTCAGGTGGTATTACCAATATTGTTACAGGAAGAAGTATTCACTCATAAAAGTTCAAAGGTTGAACACCTTGTGTTAAGGAATACTTTGCAAAAAAAAAGTATGTGAAAAATTATATTTGGTTTAAGCAGCAGCATAAAAAAATTAATATTGGAGCGCCACTTGAAAAAAATAGCTTCTAAGGTAATCTAGTAAACACATAAAAGTAACGAGAAACTGTTTTACAACATTATTAAAGAATGTGATGTACCAAACGAAAAAGCTGGAACTCAATATAGAATTGTTAAATAACTTTGCCTCGTGGCTGAGTACTAGCACACTTGCAGAATATATTCCACCTAAGGTACTTTTCTCTAACGTTCATAACATACAATAGTGCTATTATCGAGGATTCAGTTAAGCCTAGTCACAATAGGCCAGTGGTTGTCTGGTTTGTTTTATTTTCTGAAACTCTCTCTTGAATTGAACTTCGAAATGCTGAGAGTTTTGGCCTGGCCTAAAGGAAGGATATTTAACATGTTTGGAGAAACATTCTTTAACATTATTATTACTGACAGCCATTCCTTTAAGCCATATGCCTGTGTGCCACGAATATCACACATGATCTACACTCATCATCGTGTAGTTAATGGCACGTGTATTTCAATCCTATGAGTTCAATATTGCTTGGAATTGTCCCATAGAAATAAAGTAGTCCAACACTCTTTTTCTTATACAATAACTCGCAGGCTTGGCATGACCTGGTGGTTAGGGTGATCGACTGACATTTCAGCCTTAGGGGCGTTATAATGTAACGATCAGTCCCACCATTTGTTGGTAAAAGAGTAGCCCAAGATTCGGCCGCGGGTTATGCTGACTATTTGCATTCCCTCTAGTCTGTCACTGTCAAATTGGGGACGACTAGACTAGTCATCATTATAGACTTGCAGTAGAGTCTGTTATTCCATTTTGCGGTGAACTGCATCAGTGTAAATCAATCAACCATGTGTCCTGTAGCATTAGGCCTTTGTCATTGTAATGGTGATGAATAATTAACGATAGCAGGTAGTCAGAGTGTCATGTCATGCAATGACTAAAATTAGTTTTGTAAAATTTCGGGTAAAGAAGTATATTGTTACGTACTTGCTTTTTTGATAATTTCCCGTAAAAATTCTTTCCGAGAAACTTCAGTGATACGAGTCCTTTCTTAATTAAAACTAGTTTATTCTTTCTTGTTACAAACTTTGTAATAGAGTTAATTTCCACAGTCACTTTAACTTAGCTATAATTCACAGCGATTTACACACTTTACTTACGGCTTGACTGGATTATCTTCTTTATCAATTTATCTGCCGGCTTATACACTAAAATAGAGGGCGTCTAGCAAACGCTGGGACATTCGTGAAGTTCCCCGATCCTTCCAGAACAAGGGTCACCAAACTTTTTTCACAGCGGGCCAGATAACTGAGAGAATGGCGAGCGCGGGCCGCATAACCATTTTGTTCAATACAATACAGTGAATACATAAAAAATTAAGACAACAAACATGTTTATTTTCCAAAAAGTTATCAAAGAAGGCGATTTCAGCAATAAGATAATTATATCACACACAGTGCGCACATATCCGAATCTCACAAACTAAGCAGCAAAAAAGGTTTG